ACATAAAAAAAAAAAAAGTATCATAAAGTGAATGGACATGAGGATAAAAGTCCTGGCACAGTTTCAGTCTGCTGCTATAACGTTTGAATTGATACCTGAGTCATCAGATAATGTCGGAGCCTGTCATTACCTGCCCTCAGTCTTGATTTTAATGCTTCTATGTCAATTTCTGTGTCAATGCAATGACATGACACCTCTTCATTAAGTGTTCGGCAGGACAAAAACACAGCTGTCCTGTACTCAAGTTGACATTTCTGTATATACAAGTAGAAAGTCACATAATCAGGGGAAAATGTCATGTTTTTGATAATAGCCAAGTTGTAAATATAACATTTGTGGCTTCTAGTTAATATTTTCTAAATAATCTGAAACATTCTGTAATGAGGCTTCCTGAAATACCTCGAAGACACTTGTGTCTGGCTGCGTGACTGACGCTGATTACGACCACAAAGCCCTCCTGACTGTGCTTAATAAATGTGAATAACCTACGATGATTATTCTCCTGACACCTGAGCAGAGGTTTAAGAAGGCAGTATAAGTTGACCATTACACACGGACACGTTCTCCCTCCTTGTTGCTCAATAACATACACAATACTTTTTTAAAACAATATCAGCAACTAGATTATAACGACAGAAGGTACAAGGGACATAAAGCTCAGATGGTTGTGATATTCCTTCATACAAACACTTGCTGATTAAACTTCTGATCTTTGAATAAGAAGCAGTTTATAGAAAAGATCGTTGTTAGAGCTTATTTTTTGTTTAAACCTTACGCATTTGATTAAATTACTAAAGTGATATATTTTCATTTATTATGGCACCAGGCAGCTATTCGAATGGGATAGACTGCAAAAAGATATCACCGGGCTGTCTGATGCTAAAATCTTATAAAACTGCTGCATAAAACTGCCGTTCCACTGACCAGGATCTATATCTTGGCTGCATACTTTAACCCTCCCAAAAGTCCTGCTCAAGGATAGCACTTTCCAAAAGTTCTGGAACTTGGTGGGTTTGTAGCAACGGACAATGATTGGTCAAGAACTGAGAGCGTTTTATTTAAAATAATCTGCAGATTCAAACTGGTGTGTTTATTTTGTTCATCATGCTTCCACACATCAACAGAGCTACAGAGGAAAGCACATGATTAATGGACCAAAGACAAAGTCCAGGCCCCGTTGAGCAGACCAGGACCAAAACCAGCAGATACTGAAAAGGGTTAAAATGATGAGCTGAAATGACAGTGGTTTTTTTTGTTTGTTTGTAAGGCAAAAAACAAACAGCCTATGCACATTCACATGTTTGTGTGTTGATTAGCTCAATCTTTGCATGTCTTTAAATCTCCTGTGAGGACGCTTCAGCTGGTTATGAACTGAAAAAGCAACCAAGACCACATTTGCATTGGCCAGATAGCTATTTTTAATGCCTGAAACTGCTGTCGCAAGGCAGGTGTCGATTAACATGATTTAGTGCACACTGCCTTTTTTACATTTTACAAAAGATTGGCAGACATAATGTGATACCCTTGACTGTTCAGAGAAGTAGGATTAGAGTTGGTGGTAAAAATGCATCGGACAGGAATATCAGCAAAGAGATAAGAGGTACAACTTTGTCCACATGGTTCACCTAAACTTTACAAACCCAAAGTTACTCACAGGAGCTCTAAGCTGTGCGGAAACAATGAAAAGGGGGAAATTGACTTCCTTGGATGTTTCTGTGACTTTAAGTTCAGGATGCCTTGGATGGAAATGTGACTTATATCAGTGCTCTTTTAATGTCGTATTGCCTGTCCTTGAATTTGGGGCATTCACACAAAGCAGATTGATAAAAAGTCATGTAAAAAATGATGCCACTGAGGCTGAGACATGGTGACCTTTAGCTCCAAATCACTGGACCTACACTCTTCCACTAGAACTCACTGCCTCTTCAGTACCAATATCTGTTCATCTACACCTCCAGTGTGTAACACAGGCATCCTGTTACAAAAACTACGATTCATTAGACCTCATGCCACAATACATAAATAAAACGAGCTTGCTATGAAGAAGTATCAACTGGGACCACACAAGCTATTACACAAAACGGTGAGTAAATGTCTTGTCCTAAATTCACTGAACTTTGTGAGGAAAATGAGTGGAGCCCCTCTTTAATCTCCCTGATCACACATTAACTTTCATTGATTTCATTCTGAGAACTAACTGAAAGGTCCACTGATGACTAAGGTCAACATCCAGTACAACCTTCTTATGCAACAGAAGAAACCTGAAACATGCGGGGGTCTGACCATTTCTTTCCCAGTTACCTCATTCACCTTTAAGCACAATACAAATGAATCACAGAGTGGAGTGAATGCAGGTCGTTCTCTGCCGTTATGTTGAAGCATTAAACTCAGGAAGTTTCACGAGTCTCACTCATCACTTGCTGTTGTTATTCCAGCTGGCTTTGGAAAGCTTTTATAACCTCAAAGCTGCAAAATCAGCAAAACACAAAAACAAACTTCAACTGTTTACTATCCACAGCAATGTAAATATTTAAGTATTGCACGGATTAAATGATGATATTTGACCTGAAATGTTTTCCCCCATATATAATCATGCAAAGAATACCTAGGAAGATCTTTTGCCTGAATGATCTCACCTGTTCTGCACTTGAAGGCAAAGACAGCATTTTAACATGATCTTAGTCAAAGAGGGAAAAGTTATCAGTGCTGCCCTTTTGCAACCTCCTTATGTCAGTAGGTGAAGGAATGCCCTTCTTGTACTGTATTGTCCACAGAGTGAAGGAAACAGAGTCAGTGTCCTCATCTGTTTGTACAGCTGCAGGGCCTTTTCTTTCACCTTCGACTGTTGCCCCGTACAGACACTGTTGCGAGTATCACTTGGAGTCCTTGTTCAAAGGGAAAATAAAACATGAATCTTAACTTTTAAAATGTTGACAGATGACATTTTGTCTTTTTTTTTTAAAGCTTTGACCCCCGATGATCTATAGACAAAGTGAATTGGTGTTTTTTTCCTAGGATGGTTGGGGTTCAATTGTCCTACTTAAAAGGGAAGGGTCACTGCACATCAGTACAAAGTTGTACTTACCTTTTTCATTAGACGGAAAATGTTATGACAATCTGCCATGACCTCCACGACTGCGGATCTCAAGTTAAACATCTAAGAGAGATTTTTGGAGAGAATGTGTAATACAGGCTTCTTAAACATTAACCTCAAAACATCAAATGAAGGAAATGCCTTCTGAGGGTTCAGGGACTTGTTGAATAAGTATAGAGGTACATTGAAATTATTCTGGTTGGATGAGATGGCCCAGCACTTTACTATTTCCACTACAAAAACCCAGAACTATAAGTCCCAGGAACCACTTAACAAGGGAAAGAATGATCCTCCTTTTAATTGTTGTCCGTTTTTCTACAGTGGTCTTCAGACCATTTAAGATTCATTAAAAAATGTTTAGTCAGCTTTAAAAAAGGCCCATGCAGGAAACTATCTCAATGCCTTATAAAGTGCCTGGGAAAACATCTGACAGTGGAAAAGCATTTGTTTGTTGTTTTCCCCTTTTAAAAAAAAAAAAAAAAATGAATATCTTGGGAATGGGTTTCTATCGAGCTGATCTTTGACTAATTAGGCTTTTCTCATATCAGCTAAAAACAGGGCTCCACATATCACCTTCATCTTTTAAAGACCTGACAACTTGGCTTTAAAAACCTTTCAGAAAAAAAGAAACTATCTTCACCCCTAGACAAACCTTTAAAGTTGACACTGATAACATTTTCTTGTTAATTTATGTCAGACAGAAATATACCAAGGCCCAAAAAATGCACTGCGATAATTTCTTCGAGCTCATTTAAACCGTCTATATTTACACTGGCAAGTCGTCTTCTTGTTGCCATGTTTTAGGCACATCACTGCCACCATCTGTCCATATTAATGTACTAAAGCACTCATTCTTCTGCACGTCCTCCTACAGCTTTCATCACGTTTCATTCTGTCTCTGATGTGGACCTAAATATCAACTCATTAGGTTATATGACATGCATAACTTATTATAAACTTAGCAAGTTAAACCAAGTTGATAAGCTAGCCTTTTAGAAATGATAAGACAACATACTGAGACATTGTGTTGCCATCAGAGAACTTAGCATTTCCTCTTAGTTTCAGTAGCAGTTGCTTAAGAGCTATTGCTTTCCTTTTGTTTTAATTTAAGTTGGACATTTTTTTGAATCACAGACAGACTGTTAGTGAGTATAACTTTCATATATTGAAGGATCTCATTTCACGGATTGGTTGTTAGGTCTAAGACAATTCAGTAAAGATGAAACATGTTGATTAGTTTTTCCCAAAGCCGAAGATGACATCATTGGATGCTTTGTTTTGTTGACAAACCAAAGAACTTTAGAGTAATATCAACAGGAGGAGTAAATAATCTAGAAGTCACAATTTTTATTCACTCCTATTATTAGTCCATAAAGCTCCCAATGATTCAGCTCTTGAGTACAATTCTCTGCTGCTCACAAACTACAAACTGACCCGGCCCCCTCAGGTCATCAGGTGAAGGTCTTTGAGCCGTACCCAGAATTAGATCAAAGTCCGGAGACGGGGGCCTTTAGTTACTGTGGTGCCTCTCTGGAACAAACTCCCTGTTGAGCTGAGGTCCATCACTACTGTGTCCACTTTTAAAACTAAACCCCAAACCTGTCTATTCTCCCAAGCATACAAATAGTTACCCTGTGTGTGTGTGTGTGTGTGTGTGTGTGTGTGTCATTGATGAGTGTAATGTAAAGCACATTAAGCTTACCTGTAATGAAATGTGCTTTAGAAATAAAATTGCTATTGTTATTTTCAAGCTGAATGTAGAGGATTTCAACTTGTTTTTTTTTTTTTTAAATGACCCAAAAAGATCATTGACTACAAAAATAGTTTGCAACTACTTATTGCTGCGGTATTTCACATCATAGCTATGTGTTAAATAAAGAACGTAACAAAAAGACCAAGCAGAATCTCCCTTGGTTTTGGTGGTTATATTTTAACATCAGCATATTTTCTTGGCAGCATATAAAAAAGAGAGGAAACAACGACTACAGCTACATCAGTCTCTAAGCCATCTCTGTACAGTGTAGGTCCGACTGATGAAATATACCCCCCTTTGTTCATTCCCTTCTGTATCAAAAGTTGAAATCCAAAAAACAATGTACTAGTCTCTAATGAACCAATAGAAACTTGAGTAAAAATGTGCAGATCAACCAGAATTCTGTCAGATATACATGACGGGCGTGTCACAAATGTCCAACAGGGGCGATTTCTTTTACTTGTTATTGTCTGACCTCTACTCAGAAAACTCAACCCTCGGAATAATTACATCCTCTCTATCCATGACCATGTGTTCTTCAAAATAAAGAAGAACGATCCTCCTTTTACCTGTCCCCCGGGTAAAGAGATTCACAAGAAAATCTAGAAAATAAACATAAATTTTTCCGTCTTTCTGGGAGGTAAAAGTCTTTTTGTCCAATTCCCTGTCACCTCATCAAGAAGGGGCTCATTATTGGTTCTCTTTTTATTTGAAAATGAGTTATATGGTCAATTTTGTCCTCGTGTGCTTCAGTTCTCAGAACAAAATGAAGCTGGAATCAGAGAGGAATAGATCATTTAAGAAAATTAACGACTTCTGACCTCCCTGAAACCTTGCTGGACAATTGTTGAGCACTACACAGGGTTCAAGCTGACGGTAGGGACGTCAGTTTTTAGACTAGTGGCATGGCAGGTAGAGTAGTCCATCCACTCAGAGTTGTCATGAGAAACACGGGGCCTAATTCCAGAAGAATGGGGAATTAAAGTATCAATGCCAGTAACATCGTCTTGAGTCATCTGTGAAAGGGTGAGGTCAATCAGAGAGATACAGAGATCAGAGTGAGTGTGTCTGACAAGGCTAGTTCCTCTCCTGCACAAATACAGTCTCCTGAGGGCAAAGCCCCGCCTCCTGCAGCGTGATGTCATAGTCCAAGTGGGCAAGCTTCCTCCTGGGAAAGTTGGTGACGAGTTCAAAGCGTTCATTAGGGTAACCTTTGGTCTGGACGTGTCTTACCAGGGCCTTGAAGTGAGAGGAAGTAATACACAAGGATAAGTATTCACACTGATTTTCACCGTGCACTTTAAATGCTCACATTTATGACACCTTAAGAAATAGCCTGGCATTTGCAGAAAAATGCAGATTTGCTTTATTGCAATGGGTTGGATGAGAAAATAAAACTAAGTTCAGGACAGTTAACTTAAAAGTAAGACTTAGAGTCTGTCTCTGTCTATGAGCTACAATCCTCCAATAAAGTGTGTAAAGAGAGGTTTGACATTGATCCTATACCTGACAATGAAATAAAGACAAAAAGCACATTCTCCTAAATCAAAAAGCCCTCATTTAAAACTGATTCTTACCATAAGTTTTGCTTTAGAAGACAAGGATATTTGTTCTCTTTGTCCATCTGGGTATCGAAGCATCAACCTGGCTTTGGGACCTAAGGGATAAAAAAAGTGGTAAAGATCTTGTATGCAGTCTGTTCAACAAGTTAACACCGTCCATGTCTTTGACTTTAAAACTAATTGTAATCACGTGATCCCATTGCGCAATCAATGTGATTCTAAAAAGAATGTCAGGCTTAGACTTGCCTTCAAATCTTATTGCCCGTGCAGGAGTTTTCAACATCAATAAAGGGTTACACACAAAGAGACTCTGTGCACAACATTCACAACTATGACTGCATTGAAGATAATACATGCAAAAATAACATACTCAAGTGGACTGAATTATTTAAGTTTACAAATGGGCTTCAGTGACTCTGATGACATCCTGCAGGAGGAGGAAGATCAGACTGAACCCTTCAGAAATCTACACTTAGAGAAAACAGCTCCAGGGCCCTGCGTATTCATCGAAACTGATCAAAACTATAACAGGCTGAGTCAAGCTCACAACGCAGAAACAGTCTCGTTCAATAGTTTCAGGATTTGATTTGTTCTGTTGGAATATTTTAGAGTACCTGTTCCTCAACTATACCACCTGCCACTTCTAAAATTTCACTTCTTTTTGGTAGGTCAGTTACTTATTGCATTCCCTGCAGCTGATGCCAGGTTTTTACACACAGTATACGTCTTGTGGGTCAGAATCATGAGTAATCCAACTAGCCGCTCTTCATTTCAGATAGACACAAATGTGTCAAGTAAGGATCTTTAAAATGTGTTATTTCCAATAGAAAGCATTTGTTCATATTTCAATTGGTCCCTGAACTCTTTCTTTAGCTATGAATCTATTTCAACTTTCGAACAAACTTTATTAAAACTTTAAAACAGAAATGCTTCAAACGGATGAATTCAAATTATGATGTCTTTGCTAAATGTCTGTAACTGAAAAGAAAAAGGAAAAATGACTTTTGCTTTCTTGCTTAATCTTTTGTGTCACTCAACTGCACTCGCAGCGAGATCTAAGTGGAGAAAATACGGAGCAACAATCTAACCATTCTTAGTTTGTTGAATCTTGCATAGTATTTCTGCAGCTATGCTAGATGTTCTCTGTGTTCCAGTGTCTCAACACGGGCAAAGCTATGGGTATGCTCATAATTAACATTTTGTGATGTGGTCCGTCTGCAGACCTGACCTCAGACTCAAAGACTCAACTCAAAAGGTGCGCCCTCTCAGCCATCTCACTTAAATTACCAATGAATGTGTTTTAGAGGAAGGATGATAGGATGACGTACCATTGTCATCAGGACAGTCTTCTTCACAGGTTTTGGTGGTGCTGGTCTTGGAAGGTCCAGTGCTTTCAGCAGCAGGGGGACAGTGGTTCCCACCAGAGTCTGCATCAGACGGAGGATGACAAGGACCGCAGGCTGAGGGCTCTAGGTGGTTCTTTTTGCTTTCTTCCTTCTTGTGACTGTGGTTATTTTCTTTGTACGGAGACTTTCTGTGGGAAGAAGAAGAAGAAGAAGAAGTGGAGCTATCGGGGTGTAGACGCTGCTGGGCTGCCGTGGACGGGAGGGACGGGGTGTGTTTGCTGATGGAACTCTTCTCTTCGTGAGGTCCTGGCGTTTCACTGTCCGAGCCGTCAACAGAGATCGGACCCTCGCTGTCAGAGAAAGGCTCAGCGTCTGATTCGTCGTCTGATCTAGGGGAGTCAGGGGGTTCAGGGGCATTTGAGGATTCGTAGTGGGTTTCCTGTAGAGAGGCTCGGATTGCTGCTTCCAGCTGACTGTCTTCACTGGCATCAATCAGACTCTCCTAGAAGACAAAGCAGAGTGTGGCATTAGAACGACACATCAAAGAGCAGGGAAAATAACAATATGTCTAAAAACTCTTTCACTCATGGCTGTGTAATACCAACAAATATACAGCATCAGTAATATGATTCTGAGGATCAAGCTTGTAGAATCATTCACTTTCAGTTCATGGAGATAGAAACTGTAGAAGTTTAAAAACATGTGCTCTTTACATGAAGTTCACCATTTAGCACCAGAGAAGACAAAAAACATGTAATATTGATATATAATAACAAAAAACCTCAATTAACTGCTCTTCAGTTGATAGATTATTTCTATGAGATAAGAGACCCACAGAGCGAGCTCGTTTGGCTGGGGGTGCGTGGCAGGAAGGCCCATCGAGCTGCCCGTGCTCTGCCAGGAAGCCGGACGCTTGCTCCAGGAACGACGCCACATCCAGCTGGTTCCACTCCACCATTTTCTGACCTGAAGGGAACACAATATGAACAACCAGTTGTATGTTTTAAAAAATAAATTCAAAAGAAGATTTTGAAAAAGAGAGCAAGAGCAGGCATGCGTTGATTTGATTTTAAAGTACTCAAACAGCTTTAATGATATACACTTAAGAGGGTTACACAGATCATCATTTAGTTAACATCTGTCGACATTTTTAAATAAGTGAAAGTATAGTAGTCTCTGTTTATCGCAGTGTTTAATGGTGTCTCTTCAGTCACACGTCAAGGATTCTGTATAATGTTGCTTTAAAACGGATTTTCCTTAGGGTTGTTGTTCTGTATTCCAAATGGTGTGCATGCAGATATCAGATCTGTAGATAACGCGACAGCAAACTTCTAATCCTCACTCACCTGTGCGAGGATCAAGGATGGAGATATAAGGGAACTTGTTCAGCTTATAGAACTGGATGTATCGTTGTCCCTCTTCACTGTCATGATATACCTGTCATGAAAAGAAAAGGCACAATACAAAACAAACCTGAGTCGCTAGACATGTAAGTAAAAGTCAGCATAATGAGACTTTCACAATGGAGTGAGAGTTCATGTGCTGAATGCAAGGATTTACCGGCATACCGACAACAGATGCATGGTGTTAGATTGATGGAAAAGAGACAGCAAACTGTTCTGCGCTGAATAAAAATCCAGTATGATTTAGGTAATAATTTATCAGAGCTGAGCATGGTGCTCCTGTGAAAATGGGTAGCAGAAGGAAGATTGAACTTTTACAGTTCACTGCTGGTTATACATTATATTTAAGTCCTGATGGTACATTGTTAGAAATTATCCAATTGTCGGATTTTGAAAAAGTAACTACCATGTTTTCTTTAATAAGCAATATACAACTTCTACTCACAGAAACCGACGTAAAAAAAAATCTTTATTTAAAATGACAACTGAAGTCAGCAGGAGAACTGCTCAACCTTATTTCACTCGACATAAAGAACATGTTCTGCAGCTGTACTGAGTAAAGGTTTCCTTTTTTTTTGCTTCACTGACGTTACAAACTTTGCACAATACCAATTGAGTTCAACTTGGTCTTCCTATAAACCCGCTAAGGAGCCGGATCATTGCAGAGAAACAAAACAAAAAGACCATGTATGACCCCGGGATCTGAAAGTGCATACCTGCCAAAATATGAAGTGCTCTCTGATGATGGTCTTCACCGCATCATTACTCCAAACATCCCTATTCAGGCACTGGCAGGCAAAGTCTTGAACATTTTGAATGTTGATCATTAGCCACTTGTTCTCCAGCTGTCCACAGTCTTTTGCCTTTTGGAACAATAAATGAAATACAGAATCAGGAAAAACAACATAAGCAGGCTGGATGAAGCAAAAAATGGACAGATTTCCTGTTCAATTGGCAGATAAAATGCTATATTGTGTAATTTACTTTGATTTTAAAGACAGCACTAGCTGATATGATAAATCATTGGTGGCCTTTTTAACAAGGGAGAAAGGGAGGACCAGAGAGGGAAAATACATAATTCATAACTTTTGGCTGCATTCTCTGCCCTCCCATACATGGCACACCTGGTGTCCCACCTGTGATCTACACAGTCACCATCTGAGATTTCTCAGACACAAGCTGAATAAAGATGTGCGGTGCAACGTGTCTGGTAAGTGACTCCCTACCGTCTCAAAGCTGCCTTTGTGCATGAGCTCAATTGGAGGGCGGAAAAGGTCTGCCAGGGTGCTCAGTTTCTTATCCACCGTGCCACCGTTTCGCAGCTCCTGTTCCTGGCGAACTAAGAAAAAAACCCCACAAAGAACACAGTTAAAGTTTGAGGCAAAAAAGCAGTGACTGCTTGCACTGCTGGCTGTGACTTGGTAGCACTCAGTTGTACCACATTTGCTATTCACCAGGGGTCTAATTTATCAACAGTGCGTAGAAAGTGTTCTAAATTCTATCTTAACAATGAAATTTAGAATGTGCTAAACTACAAACAAAAAAATCTGTATTTATCAAACATGCGGACGAGGATTGTACACACATTGGTAGGTAATCAGTTTTGATAAATTTCACGTGCTTAACCAATGACAACACACCTCTTTAAAAACGACATGAACGCATTCACCTCGCCGGAATAATACGAGAGCAAAGAAAAGGAGCGTCATGACAACAGGGATGGAAGTGGATGAGGTTGAATAAAAATCGGTAATAAATTAAATTAATAAATAAAACAAGGTTAGTAACTCTCGCGCTGAGTGACCCAAATAAATTGTTTGTTTTTTCACTTAGTTGAAGTTACTAAAAAAATAACAAATGCTGCATGAGACAAGGTGACAATGTCTGTTCATTCTCTAGGTCAGAGGAGAAAACACAAAGATGAAGTCAGATAATAAGCTCAGTGCAAAAAAATAAATAAAAACGCATCACGGCACAAAGGCGAGAAGCATCTGCAGCTGGAGGATAACAGAAAGCTCCTCAACTTCACCCCATAACAGTGCATTCACAGTGTCATCGGGGGCACAGCTCTCTCTGGGAAAAGAATCAAACAGTGACGCTCTCACAAGAGAACAAGCTGGACCAAACGGATCAGTGCGCTCTATTGAAACGCACTTACTGCGGAGCGCACGGTTTGCCAAATCATCTAATAATGCAAAACGAGCCATGATTTTTTACTACTTTTTAAAGGTAGGTTTTGAGACCAATTAAGGCAAGACGTCTGTTTCAAACTAGACAAAATCACTAATTTGGGAATATTAATTAAAGAAAACTCAGAACATGTATCTAAGTTGAGATTGATTCAGGCGTGCTGCGACACTCGTAGTGCTTTTTATTTGTAGTTTCAATGTTCTACCGCTAGATTCTGTGCGTAAGCATGCTCAGAGCTGTGCTTACATTTACACACGTTTCTAAGTAAAAGTACAAGTTGATAAATTCCACTCTTTGCGTGGGAATGTTCTTATGCACTCATTACGCACAGATCCGTGCTTATGCACTGTTGATAAATGAGGCCCCAGGTATTTTAAGCGTGGAAAGCTTGATTTTACTCACTAGTTTCTGTCTGGAAGTCTCGGAAACCATCAAATATAGATCGAGCAGGTCTTCTTCGCTTTGGTACTGCATGAGAAAAAGACGCATTACAGATCATTCTAAGCAGATGATTGAAACACTACAGCCAGACAAATGTTTTTTTAAGACCAGTTTACACGAGGTTGAGTAAGAGAAGAAGTGTAATACCTCCAAACAATGGCTCCGGTTCAACCAATATGTCCTGCTTTTGGGGAATTGGTGCTCGTACTTCACTGAGACATAGGGAAAGATTTACAGTGTTATTCTAAGATGCAAAGCAATCAGTCTGTCTTACAAACTTTTCCGCCATTTCACTGTTAAAAACTCTAAAGCAGGAGAGATTTGGGATCACAATAAATCAGAGAGGGTCAACAACAGCAAAACAAAGAGGTGTGAGGGGCGACTGTTTTGACTTTTGTCCAACTGAAGTTTGTGAAATAAAATATGATCTTACTCTGAAGCAGGAGGGGCTCTGCTGCTTGAAGCTGCTGAACTAGAGCTGGTGCTGGGCTCCTCTGCAATCCCTCCTCCATCCAGAAACATTGTCACTGCCATCTCCAGATTGTTGCTGCATGCCTCCAACATATGTTTTCCTACACTCTCGGTGGCCCCTAAAAGATATTTTGGATAAATGCACATTAGTGATATAAAAATATTTATACAAGTGTGCTAGATGTTTGAAAATACTAACACATATCATAGCCACAGAAAAATGTGTGTATAGTTAAAGCTGTATTTCTTCGGTTGCTGTTTACAGAGCTTTAGCTTTAAGTTGAAGCAACATTTATCTAGGAATATGTTGAATTTTGCTACAGTCTCTCTGACAACCTCAATTGAAAAAAATAATAACTGTAGATATTTAGATTTAGTGTTTGATTACTGTTGTGACCATATATTTTGCTATGCTGTGACAACTAAAACCTGACCAATATTGTCATTGTTTAAGTCAAAACTAGAGAGTTTAGAAAACAATATATACATTTGCCAATATTTTATTTGATCTGAAAAGGTACTATTTGAAAAAATTAAATGTTAGTACTTTTTGGATGACAAACGATGTAATGGAGAAACTTACTAAAAAGAACACAAATATAATAAATACCACACTAAAATGAATGCATGTTTTTACATGTTTTCTACATTTCATGAATAAATGATGCTATCAGTTTCCATAAAACACCGTCCTCATTTCGAGTATAAACAGCGTTTATTTTTCTATTTCAATGTCCTCTGAAACGCAACTACAATCCACCTTAAACAATTATGAACTTGGAGAAGCAGTTAAATGTGAAATCTCACCATAACTAAACAACAACAACAACAAAAAAGCGTTACCATTGAAATAAATGCATTCTGTATTAAGTTAAATTATTATGGCATACTTTCTTAAGTATTAACTCAGCTCATGTTTCAGCAACGTGACGTGAAGTTAACAGATTAAAACACGAACAAACTTCACGACTGTGCCTAAATGTACAAAATATTTAATTGACACAGAGCATAAAACAATTTGAAAAAAACAAAAAAAAACGCAAGTGTGGAAAACACAATTTTCGAGGATGTATTTTTTTTTTTTTAAGTGTAACGTTACAGCCCAGTTCGTTCGGCTGCAATGAACCTTCCGCATGTACTGCGCATGTCTGTTTCACTTTTTCAGTCCAGCAGCGTAGCAGCCCCCGGACTGAGTCCCCCCTTTTTTTTTTCTTCCGAGAAATAACTTAAAATTGATACAATATCCACCCTTTCAAAAATCACATAAAAAATGATCGCGGACCTCTGAACGAGTAGTCGAAGACAGAAAGTGTGCTGAGCGGCGTGTTGTTAGCGCTACAGACACTGAGGAGATGACAGACACACAGTAGAGTATGAAGCTCCGGGTTGATGATGAAGAAGGGGAATGTTGCACAGCCGACGTCCATTCCACACCGAAGAACAGGCAAAAGCACAAACGAGCACATAAGCTCTGGGCTTGTTAAATAGTGTTCGGTATAACAACCAAAAGGAGAGAATGTAAACATCTTTAGCAATTTTAACATAAAATACCACCAGCGGATGTTTCTTTGTTCCTTTTTTTACAAGTCTTTCACTGGAGTTTATCTTGACAACTGGCTGTGGTTGTTCCCTCTGCACAGCATTGACAGCGTAGGGGCCACAGAAAGACTTAACGTCCGGTTTCTTTCCTTCGCACTGATTTCGTGGTTTTGGGGCAAGGGGGCTATTCCTATTCAATGTTTTAAACCTACTTGATATGTTTAACACACAATGAAATGTAATTATTACCTGTTATTGCTGTGAATTGTTGTATTAACCCGTTCACCCCCGGAGCTGAGGTGTCTCCGAGCGCCGCCATCTTACCGCCACAAACAACAACATAAATGTGGCGCATGCGCTACGCCGTCCTTTTCCTTCTGCGCGGCGCGGCGCAAGCCCCGTGCGTCAGCAAAGGATGTGCTGCATTGTGGGTAACGCAGTCCAGTAACAATAGAGTTGTGAAACTGGCACATTCACATTTTTTTTAGGGGGTATTTTAATTGTTCTTCTTGAATTTCCTGTTTGTTCACATTTATTTAAAGACTTTGATGTCATTATGACAAATAATATATGCTCAACATAATTGAATCTGCATCTACTTTTAGATTAAAACATGCACGATAAAAACACAAGACAAGTACTTTGTATTTGTTGGTAAAAGTGGATGAAGTCTGCTATACACAAGAAAATTATATTTATATAGTAATGTTTAAGAAGATTTCGTATGTAGTTTTCCCTGTAAAACATGTAAAGGATAGATTTTTAACAATTGATAATGGAAATGTAGACGAAAGGCTATTTAAACTGTACATGTGCAAGAATACAAATTTTTGGCATTCATTCATCAATAAGTATCAGTAGATAAATGGGTGTTATGTGTGGGTCAATAAACAAATTAATCAGTTACTTCTTATTTCCTGCTAAATGACACATCCAATAATCAGTTTGAGCTGGCCCCAATTTTAAAGATGAGACGCTTCTTTTTGTCATTTTAATTCTCTTGATGTGAATTTCACAAATAAAATAACCCTTCAAATTAATGGACTTCATGCCCCACTTTCAGAAACTGTAGTTGTGCCTCTTCGTAAAAAGTAAAAAGGACAGGTCACATTATAAACCACAGTAAATGTTAGTTTCAACTTTGTTCCACATCTGCCACAACAAATATCATACTAATACATTAAAACCTCATAGGATCTTTGAAGTAGTGTCATTTTATTGTTATTTGCATAATACATTCAGTCTGAAAACAGCTTCAACCAAATCCAAAACCTGAAGAATCAGTTCCAACAACAATGAACTACTAGCAATTAAATACGGTAATTGCTCAGTAAGCGACCATTGAAGGCCAAGGTATCTTAATTTAGGTATTTCACACTAATCTGTAGTGCTGCCTGGCAAAAACAAGAAATCAAAAAGAGAGATTTTACTTTACAACGGGAAGGTGATGATGGCACTGACTTTCTACATCATGATATGTCCAAACTATATTTACAAAATACACAAAGCGATGCTTGTATTTCCACTGGCCAGTGATAAACTAAAGATAGTTAAAGCTGAATATAAAATAACATTACATTCATATCAATAAATGTCCTTCGCTTATGTTGATAGTCTCATTCGGGCTCAGAGATTTTATAGATTTTTGATTTAGATCAATAACCATGGACATTAAGTATTAAAAGAATTATAGGTGATAAGATGAATTCCTCTGAAAAAAGCAGATTTTGTGCAACAATACAAACCAATGAATGATTATTTTTTTTATCTTCTATTGGATGAAAATGGTTACTATGCTACAGTACACAGAAAGCACTTCATTAAGCCTTCTCCATGTAAACCCACTGATGCATGGAAATTGGATGCTTCTGTTTGGGGTCAGTGTGATCTTTTAACCCTGAGGTGGGAGTTATTCTTAATAGAAAAGCTGCATCACTTTTAATTATGCACACATGCAATATATACAGGGCATAAGAAAAAATTAGTTCAGTTTTTAGAGATAATCATCTTAGATACACAGATCTATTGTTAGTCAACACCGATGGCCAAATGAGAGTATTGACGAATATGTCAAGTTCAGTGCTGTGTTAAATATCTTAAACTTTGAATCTCATTACGTTTTTAAATATGTTCAGTACCAACAACAGTCTGAAAGAATTTATTTTCAAAAAGTGAACACTACTTATTGTATGTGAGACCAGTCCTACCATATATCATTTCACTGTTATCAAGTCAAATAACTTCTATGAACACATTTCCCAAAGTTAAATAGATACCAGGCTCATCAATGATAAGGGGGGTTGAGAATGTACCCTGATAATAAAACCATTTTTTGGATAGGTCACTTGTATTGATCAGAAAAAGGGGCCACAGGGCCGTAAAACATCTGAAAAATGAATAGACGAGGCTTCTGGAAATAAAAATGTACCTTTGATTTTGAATGAAACCAGTTTAACATGAATTGGTAATTGGTTTCTGCTTAGTTTCACTTGAAAGACCCAATTTAAATCTGCCTGGAGTCACAGCTGCTTTTTCATCTAAATTGTACACATTGTCTGAATTTGACCAAATGAGTACCGTAGATACATATATTAAAGGTTGAAATATGTCAATTAGAATTTATTATGGGCCTTTATTAAGTGTTGATGCTGAACCAACTGTGTATCTTGGAAGAACAGTATCAACCCGACCAATCAAAGGATTAAACCAAACACAATATCATTATATAGTAAGAATGCCAGTCTTTTCACATCTGGTAGCAATTCAACTTCAACAATGCAAGTAAGACTTGAGTTTTCCCTAACAGGCATTGTTTGAGTGAGAAAAGACAATGGATCCGTTTCATATTCCACATGCTAAACCTTAACAAAAAATAAATAAAAAAATGCAGAGGAAAAAAAGAGGAAATTGGCATGTTTAAATGTTTTAAATTCCGTTTCACAATTTATATTCAGCTTAATTAATAAATAAGCTTCAACACAATAGCATAGATCAAGATGTGATTTAGTGCATACATGCATACATGTATGTTGAGTGAGCCATGGGTGAGTTTGATGGTGGAATGTGTGTTTGTGTATGGACCGACTCTATGAGGCAGAGAGGCCAGAGTGTTTCAAAATGAATGTTGTTATTTAGGGAGGGCAGGCAGGTTGGTGAGGAGTGAACACTGAAATTTGGCAGAGGGAATGCTTCACTGGAGCTCAGAAGCGGATGAAGGTGGCGTCGATCTGCCGCACACTGGGCAGCGCCAGCATGATCTTTCTCCGGTACTGTGGATCCTTCTGTAGAGGGTTTCTTTCAAGGTAGACCGTCTCCAGGGACTTGGCATTCTTCAACTCATCAAGGTCCGACCAGTTATCTATCTGATTATCGTTCATCTGGCGAGGGATTGAAAACAAATATAGCTTTTAAGAGGACACAAACAAACTTTAAGCAAATTGTAGCAGATATTGTGAAGGATGTGAAGAACCTTAAAGAAACAAGTTAACTCAGAAAATAAGACGATGAAAGAATAACTTAGTAAACACATAGCTTAATCTTTTGGTTCTTTGACCAATAAAAGTGATACATCATGATTTAGAACATAAGACGGATAAATAAGTAGTTTTACTAAAAGATGGAGGAGTCAAGAGGAAACTGCTGAATGACTGAATGTCTATTTCTTTGTACTGAGAGCAATTGAAAACCAGAATCAAATTCCTTATATGTGTAATAACAGACCTAGCCAATAGGGTTGTCGTAATACCAGAATTTTTAATTTGTATACTAATACTAGTAAAAAAACAACAACTATATCCATATCTGTTTAAATAGTGTAAAAAAATCACTGAACACATACAACCTTATTTCTTACATAAAATACTGTCAATGGAAACACAAGGCATATAAAGCTACATTTGTCTCAGTTTTACTTCTCTGTTTTCAGTAGCAGCATTTGCTCTCTACACGTCCTCCCTATGTCTCTCGACCCCTGCTGCTCTCTCTCCTTTAATCACAGCAGATTTGGGTTCAAATGGGAATCTTGATCTCTCTTTTTTTCCCCAATGTTTCCGTATTTTTTGATTCTAAGAAACATTCAAATAATGGAATTTAAATTGTTTTAAAACAAGTAGTATCTAAAACTATTGCTCTGCTGGCATATAAAGCTGATACATAATCTCTATAATTAGCAGTGCAGTTCTTCAATTAATCTTGTGTTAAAGTGGCAGTGTGAAACATGAATACTCCAATGGAATCAGCTAATTGTCACTGCAACCTGTCTGCAACCTAAACAGTCTCTTATCAGACTCTCTGTGATTGGCTAGTTACGTGCAAACCAACCCTGATTGATTGTTTAGATTCAGCCTGAATGTTTTTGTTAACTTATTATGAAAGAGAGTACTGATAAATATGGGTCACACACATATGTTCAAAGGAACATTCCAATTAATTTAATAATGTAAGTGATATGCAATTATCAAAATATTTTAACTAAAGTTCTAATGAAATAATGTTACACACTGCAGCTTTGAATTTCTTAAAATAGCTCACATTTTCTAGATCAATTAATTCAATAGATTTTTTTTTGCTTGTAATTTATGGTGGCAGCAGAGCTCTGTGTTTGACTTACTCAGATTTTAAAATGGGACATGGTCAATGTTCAACCCTTTTCACACATACGGAAATCTCCTGAAAAACTCCGGAGATTTGGCTACCCGGAGGTTCTTTAGGCTATGTGTGAACGCAAACAGCCACATTTTTAGCGCAGACTTTACCCGGAATTTCTCCAGCCAGACCCCTAATATTTTTTCCGCAGAAAGTCCGAGTGAGCTGATGTCTGAATGCGGCCGCATATACTCCGGAGATTTCAACTCAAGCCAATAGAAAGAGAATGATGTTTATATACATTGACCACTACGATCTCCATGCACGTAATTAAACGTCTGCATTCTGTTTTCTGTTCGTCAGTATGTTGTTCTCCTCTCTTTTGTGGATGTTGTCATTCCATTGGATTACACATAGCATTGATATAAAGGCAAATATTCTCAATATAACGTCGTGTAGCGGACTCTGTTGCTCGGCCAGACTCAGCCGCTACTTCCGCATTGTTTTTTTACGTCACGTCTTACCTCAGGAAATCCCTACTTTTCATGCTTAAGGTACTCTGAAACATCTCAAATAAAAATTTAATTACTAACATAAAAATACATTCCGGTTAAAACTTAAATGATTCATACCCAGAACTCCTGCAGGTCTGTCAGATGGCTGATATTTTCAATTTTCTTTACTCGGTTGGCTGCAATGTCCAGAGTTGTAAGCTTTTTCTGTTAAGGGAAACAAACATCACTTAAATGTTCGGACCAAACTTTGTTGAACAT